AATCTCCATATCTTTCTGTAAATAAATCTTGTTAAGTATCAAGTTTTCTTCCCATGTGGGTATTTTGTAAATCAGATCAAAGCTACGGGGTCTTCTTCAACTTCTTTTGCATAGGCAAAAAAGAAAAAGAAAGAAACAGATAATCATCTGAAACTGCTTTACTTGCATAATCATATCCTTTCTGCTTCCTCTGCTTCTGTTTTCAGAAAAGTGAAAGGGGAAAAAATCAAAGATGGGAGAAGCGAATGAAAACAGAAGTAGGAGGGAAATGGTAACGACCAATCTTTCCTTGCAAATAGACAAGTACCCGAGAGATCTGCTGCAGAGATTCATGTCCACTACTACTGATATACACCAATCTCAGAATGCAGCACCTCGTGAAGAAGATGAAGATGAGGAAATCGAGCTAAATCTCGGTTTATCACTCGGTGGTCGATTTGGGGTTGACAAGAATCCTAAGAAGCTTACGAGATCATCATCAATTGCAGGCACGATGCCAATATTCCGGGATGATGAGCTGACAACTCCATCTCCTGTGCAACACCCTCTTCTCATGAGAACATCCTCGTTGCCTACAGAAACCGAGGAGGAATGGAGGAAGAGAAAGGAAATGCAATCATTAAGAAGAATGGAAGCGAAGAGGAGAAGGAATGAAAAGCAGAGGAATTCAATTACTAATGCTACTAGCAATAACTTTTTGAGTGACAATAAAATGGAAGTCGAGGAAGAGAGCTTGAAGCAGAAAGGAGCTAGTATGGCTGCGTCCTTTGGATTGCCAAGCTGGGCTGCTTCGGCGGCCAGGCAAGCGATTATAGGCAGTGGAAAAGGTGGGTTTTTGCAAGGATCTGTACAGCATCGGAGTTCTCAACAAGGGTCTGTGGAGTCGCAAGGAGGGGGAAGTTCTTCAAGCATGTCAGACTTGGAGAGAAAGTCACTTCAAGGTAGTTGTTTTTGCTTTCATTTCTTTAAATGCCTTTACGTGCCCATTCGTTTTGCTTTTATGTTTCAGTTTTTTTAGTTTATCTTGACATGGGGTTTTATTGTGGAGGCATGTTTGTTAATTGTGGGAGAAGACTTGGTAAGTTTTGCTGCTTTCTAATTTAGGTAGGTTGCCTTTTTTGGGATGGAGTTTTGGTTATTTAGTTGGATGAATGGTGGTTGCTGCGGTGATTTTAGAGTTATCAGAAAGCATGTTGTAATTTTGTTACCGCATGAAGATTCACTCAGTTAATTCACTTTTTTTTTTTTTTTTTGGGAATTGATCAGTCAAGACAATCTAGGTAGCACTTAGTTCCTCTGAATTCTAGCATTTAAGTCAGAAATGTCTATGGAATATTTATATGGGTCTGTGAAAGAAAGTAACTATTGGAGTAAAGCTGTGACCTTAGTTGGAAAGTTAGTAAGTTGGAATCACCAAAGATTTACAAAGGAAATCTTCTTCTTCACTTTGTGGTGATTGAACCTGAGGAAAAAAATCTCTTGCTGCTACAATGCCAAACTATATAGTTCTGATGATGCTTCTTTCTGCGCAAGCAAGCACAAACTGACTTCAACCCTAGAAAGAACCTGAGGGAGCTTGCTTCG